GGGCTCCATCACCTTTGTTACGCAGAGCCTAAAAATAGCTATCCTATGTGTATCATAATTTAGATGTTAGATGTCGAAATTGGTGAGGCGTCTACTGTGGTTGCTGCGGGCTCGGAATGACAAGTAACGCAAAAAGAAACACGAGAAGAAGGTGGACGTTACTTAAAGCCACCGGCGACATTTCTAAGCTGATACAATATCTATGGTGCATCTCGCGGCGGGTGTATCGTGCAGTCAGTCGTACGAGACACATGACAACAATACAAACGCAATGTATGTAGGTACTCCATTTGCTTTTCAAGGCTGTTACTTGCTGCTTTGTTTCCTTCTTCGTTACCTGCACATGTGGTACCCGCAGACCACGTCACAGCAGGACCGTTGCTAGGGGCGAAGAGGTTTCTTGGTTTACTCTACTCTCAGCTTTTTGCTCTCTATCTCGTGCCTTCCTGGGCGCCTACGTGTAACAGTTCGACAAAGTCCATCATGTATTGCGAATACCGCACGCTACGGTTCTGTATAGAATAACGACACCAATAGCAAGCTACCACGATACATAGATATGTAGAGCTTAGCCATACGTTAAATGCTGCAAAATCCACGGCCTTTGGCAGCTACTCGGGATAAACAGTACACTGGAATTGTCAACTTATTGACGACGGTAACCCCTTGCCAACCTATCTGTTGACCATTGTCGTCGTAGCAGTCGACGCGGTAAGTGTAACAACAATGGTACTAGTAAGAATTTTGTCAAGGCCAAACAAGCAAAATAGCGCCAAGATAAGGTTCGTTTTCGGCTTCATATCAATTGAGTCCTACCGGGTTGTCATCCTTATTGCGCTAGCTATTAAATGGTAGGTCCCTTCATGTTTAAAGACACTGCTGATTGAATATGTACGTATTTGCACTGATCTGGCAGCTCAGTCACTCCCTTACATCAAGCTTTAGTGGACTTTCAGCCTGCTATATTATCATGTGAATATAAGCCACAGTTGGCAGCTGCTACAATTGGCCACCCAGAAAAAGCAAATGGACACTCAATAAGCGAGCCAAATCGACAACAATTGGCGTACAAAGTCAGAAACGAAGCCGTAATAACACCAATGACACTACACACAAATATCAGAGCAAAAAAATGAAGCAACATAAATAATCAAAATGAAGCGGTACAGACGACGATGATAATAAAGATGTCTCGCCGAGATCGCATACGACCAGGCAAACAGCGTCAGGTAACACCCTAGCGTTAGCCTGCTTTGCTTTTGGTATCACCTCATCGCTTTGGTCACAGTAATACCGGCAGGAGCGTCGAAGGAGGCCGAAAAAAGCAATCAGTGTCAACAGTCGCCACGGGTGAAAGTGCTGAGCGGGTTGATCATAGTTATCGTTGGCGGCGGTGCAGACAACGGCAGCAGCAGAGGAAGCCGCAAAAACGGCAGCGGCCGCAACAACAGACTAACATCGAAGCAGTAGATTTCAGGCAAATAGTAATGTCGCTACCATCATTGTGTCGGTCAGCTGGAGGCCTGCGGCGTGGATATAAGAAAAACGACGGGAAAAAATGAAGACATCTGACGCGACTACATAAGAAATTGAAGGTAAGAGCTATGTTGAAGTAATAATAATAACAACAACAACAACAACATGAGGTACAACAGTCCTTAGCTAAAGGACAACTGTCCGGGCAACAGCTTTAGCGGAGAGCTTTTGCGTAGAGATTTCGGATCGGGCAAAGAATGGCTTCGAAAACCTCATGGTTACTAAGACCCTCGTAGCCCTGTAGTGCTGGCAGCCATTACTACTACTAGTCGTGATGCCATCTGGTAGGAAGACACAGAATCAGAGTGAACAGTGAATCCCTTCGCGCGCGTCCGCTTCCTCCACATAGGCTTCGACTACTGCTCCTGCTCTCGCTGACTCGTGAGGATAAATGGATATCCATATAGGCTGAGATATGTAAGTGTGTAGGTATGTTTTCGTACATGCGTACATATAATGTATGGCTGTGTGTATGTGCACGCGTGTGTGTGTGTGGATAGCCTCACTCTCAACGCATGAGCGACGAAACGCTCACACACGCAAACGGATAGTATTAGATAGCTTCACGATCTTCAGGGCGGGATGCGAAGTCATTTACGGAGAACGCTCGCAAGCCGCCAGCGCGGGCCAAAAAGAACAAGATGAGGAGAAAAAACCACGCAGAAACAGCAGCATGGGCTGTTTGCCTGCCTGTCTGTCTGATCAGCCGACTAAAGACCACAGTAGAAATAGAAATACAGAGGCGGGCAGGCAACAAAAATAAGGCGACGTGAAGAGCCTCCAAAGAGTACCGCGCACCGGAGCAAACGCGGCCTCGGCCTGAGCGGGTCCGTTTCTGTTACCCAAAGAGGTTATGGACGAGATTGGGTCGGCCAGAACCAGCGACGGCAATCGCGGCGGCCGCTGCGTCCGGCAACCGGCGATCAGGACGCTGCTGCTGGTGCCGAAAATGACTTCATCTTAGACTTCACGGAACGCCTCACGTCTCAATCACGACGACCAGGACAACAGCAGCCCATTACGAGAACGGCGATGACGTTGCTGCTCTTAAAGGTAGGAACGAAATAGTAACGAGCAGTAAGTCAACGAAAAAAAGGACCAATGAAAAAAGACAGGATGAAAGTCCAAAGAAGGACTGAAAGCTAAGATGTTTTTGGGACGAACATCGCTGAAGAGCGACGATGGATGAAGCTTTGGCTTGTTCTCTCCGTCTCTCAATAACATATACACCCTATCTTACATTTTTTCTATATAAGCTCTCTTAGGCTGCGCAGACTATTATGAGGTACCGAGTTGCAGTGGCTTCAGGCGGTGAGCCGAGGAACAACAGCGAGCGAGGAAATAGAAAAGTCAGCCAGCCAACAACCTACGCGGTTACACATGTTTATTTCACGGCAGCAGAAGCGGTCGCCGTAATAGGGGCACAAGCGGCGCAAGCGCCTGATTAAAATTCACGTCGGCAACTTCAATCTCCCGTGTAGATTCAACCCGGCTATTGCCTACCGGTCGATCAACTAGCATGTATGAATATACACATACATACAAAAGAATATAGTAAAACAATATGCTCACAAGTATAGCGGATCGTGTACGAACATAACTGTTATAAGCGTAAGATCCAACGATCCAACCGAAGGATTTTAATTCGCCCAAGAGGGCTAAACAAGGAGCCTAAAAGTAGGTAAGCGATAGCACAGGCTAAAGCGGCCAGCGATTAAGCCTGTTGTCTGACCTCTGTAGAATTTCCTTATCGTATATCGAGGCACACTACGTGGTGATCAAATCTTGAAAATTGTGGATGCCTGTATTGGCTATTGATATGCACGAACGAAATGTATTCGGTAGCATTACACAGAACGGATTGTTCTGCGATAGTGGAATTCTGCGTACCGCCATTGAACTGCCTCTTAAATTCGGCCATCTAGAAGAGTCCGCTGACATTGCGTAGCGATCGTAGACTTGTTCAATAACTTCTTTATTACCAACGTGCCAGAATTTGCCGCCTTCGACCTAAAGCAGGCCTAGCAAAAGAGAGAAGGACGAATTCTTTGAACTACAATCATCTGGTGGCTTCTGCTACCGAATGATAGACGATCTGAATATGATAGGCAGATTCAAGAGTGCGGTAGAGAAGGTCGCCGTGACATTGAGTATCTTCGTCTGTGTCAAAGCGCTTGTTGGCTATGTGTATGTGTTACTTTGAACAAGTATAGACGCCGTACATCCTCTTCATGTATAACGGAGGAAGCTATTTACACCTACCTAGAAACGGACAAATAGGCCGTAGTAAAAAGGTCGGGAGAGAAGAGCGTGAAATATCTCATACATAACACTGAGTCTAGTGATAGCTGTTAATGAAGTTAATATATTAGGCAGTCTTTGTCAATAAAAGGGGTGTACTATTAAGCAATCTAAAGCGTGGAAGTTCTTAACGATAACTGCACAAGAGCCTGAAGAATCTACAGGAAATTTAGCACGAAGGAGGTGGAAACTGTATATCTACATTGATACAATTAACTGATCGACCAAGACCTATATCAATGAACGATCCGTATCATACATAGTTATAGTGCGGATGCGTATCGGGGCTAATGTTCGTCAATCCGCCCTTGAAAAATCAAATAAGTATCGTTCTTACTGACTTGTACCCCAATTGAATTGATATGTTAGGTACGTCCATCAGTCGCAAATATGCACACTATATTCTCCCAATATTTGGTATCTTGTCGCCCATTTGATTAGCCATGTATTGGCCTAAGTTGGGGCTTGCTCTGGCTAGATGTATGAAGACGTAACATATTAAGCCAGCGTAAGAATACAGGGCAACACTTGGCGGCCGTCTCTCGCATGTTCAGGACAAAACTTCAACCCTTCCAGCTTCGTCCTAGATGTTCCACTCGCATTACGTAACCGCATATTCTACACAACTGCACCCGCTCGTTCCTCCGTTTCCGGTAAATTCCTTCTGCATCTTCGAGGCGAGCAGCGCCTCACAAGAGCTACTTCTCAAAACTCCTCCAACAGAAAAGGACTATTGTCGTAATTTCGAAAGCCGCCAATCGCTAATCGTCCGATCGCAGACCGCCCGACCAACATACGCTATGTTTCTTACATTTGGCTGTACATACGAAGCGAAGCAAGCAAAATACACTTCGTACAAACATCAGTCCAACGCAGCAGCTAAAACCAGCCGAGCTTTGGTCGCCTCTGAGGGCCGCCTGTATATCTGTTTATCAATGTTTTGTTGCGGACGGGCATAGATATATGTACGTGTGTGTGTCAGTGTATAGGTATTTTGACACTGCGCCTCGACGTCGTCAGCGGCATCATCTTCGCAATTGTCTTCGTCCGGCACCGGCCACGTCCACAGCCTATCTATAGGACGCGGTTCGTTCGTGATCAATAACGAAGCTTCGAAGCGGTAGCGCGAGAGACGAGCCGATAGTGGCGAGTAGAAGCAAAAATAGGGGAAAAATCGGACATAGCCAAGAGTAATGCTGCATCCAACGAAATAGCAGAGAATGTCTTCATTATCGAATGCCAACGCTGAACCAAAGGGCAAACAACATAGATTCAGAGACTGACAGCGTCAAGGTAAAAATGCTGGCTCGTCGCCCGTTCTGGTCCGGTTTTCGGCGACCGTTATTGCCTTTGCCGTCGCTGCTGGTCTTCGGGCTTCCCAGTTCACCACTAGTCATTCTGTTTCGGTCCGATTCGACTTAATTCTCCAGGTACCGTCGCTGGCGGGACAATTCAACGACGATATTCTTCAAATATATACACACTCAACTCGGAAAAGACATGTGTAAGTGACGCAAGAGATGACAACGACCGACTGGTGTATCTACAACTGCCTTTAGCAAAGTCAAGCAGTCGAACATATAAGCAGGTTGCGAAGAGGATAGAATGAGACGTGTCAGACACTGTCAACGAGAATGGAGGAGATGGATCGCGCGCGGTCTAAATCGCGTCCATCATTGTCTTCGCTAACGTACCTGCACTTGCCAATTCCCCATGACGCTGGCGCACTTTTGGCCGCTCTAAAATCAATAACAGAGTACGATCGGTCGGTCGCCCTGGTTCTCATCAGGATGTGCTTGCTACCTCATTCGTTGCTGTCCATCTGTTATGGCCATGGTAAGAGCCCCACTGTAACGGTATTCCTATACAATATAAATATGCGCACGGATTAATCGGCCTGCAGCTTTTTTTGCGAACCCGCTTTTGCCGTCAAAACCGTATTTATTTTTGATGCACTAGACTGTTAATTGAACTTTTACATCGCTTTAACTGACCCGTCCAATTAAATAGCTTCCTGCTCCCATCTAACTATACATTAGGTCAATATGTATAAATATGTGCACACTCACACAGAAGGCGTCGACAAAAAACAGGCCTCTGCTGGTTATGCTGCGATTCTTGATTTTGTTCTTAACAAGCAGCTAATTTGGAAACAATTTTCGAAAGAAATTTCCAAGCCTGTCTATGCATTTCAGGAACGCGATAAGGATGTCAATTGGGTGAGAGTGGCGAACGAAAGACGGGGCAGGGAGCAATAGAGCAGCGGAAAAAATCTCAACGTGGACGAAAGATCACGCCATTATCTATGGCTTCAACAGCCGAAACTGCTGTTACGGGTGCAAGAAGAGCCGGCCGATCCAAGCCCCGTCAACTTAGCTCGAGATCCACTCGGAGTTGTCTGCTTCGTCACCCTGGCACTCTTGTCATTTCGTCTCAATTACTCAAGTCGAAGTAGGCAATCCTGTTATATTACGAATACCTAGCCATTATTGACTGGCTGTTCAGAACGAACAACAAACCAGTAGCAGATTGGGGGTAATGTAATTTGGGTTGTTATACAAACGATCGTACAACTCAAAGGAGTAGAAACATTAGAAAAACGCATGAACATAACAAGGAAAGATACAGACAGGCGTTCCTGCGAGATGATAGACAGCGGTTTATGCATATTAAATCACACGCGGTCTCATGTGATGTACAGATGCTAGAGATAAGATCGAAGATCAAGGTGTGCTAATTAAAAGGTCAATTTAGATTCGGAACCCGATTAAGATGGGATTAACATCGAGAAGGCCGTCATATTTATAAAATGTCATATAACGTTTTCTATAAATACTCTTTTATGTGCTTATATATATATATATGTTTATGTACATATATATACATAAACAAGAGCGTCATGAAGAAAGATGCTTCTGCGAATTCGTCAAATTAGGGCTGCCATTTACCCTAATATATGGTTATTATAATTAGTACCACGCTTGACATGTCGATATGTACCTTTTACTTGTAGTTCACGCACGTTGATGATTGACAGTAATACTGATATTGATAATTACTTACCGTCCCGAGGTCCGTCGTTCCAGGAACCGGCGGCGCTAGGGCAGTTGCAACCGGATGGTGTGGATAGTGCCGCTGTAATAACTGCTGATGCAGGGGACTGAGGGTGCCTGCTGATAGGTGACCGTACGAGCCCGTTCGGGGGCTGTTCATGAACGATACGAGCTGATTAGGGCTGAATCGGATCATTGAGTTGACGTCAAACGCCTCCGAATACGGCGATGAAGACAATGCTCGCTTACGACCTCTGGCGCTTAGACGCGACGTCGCTAATCACGAAGGAAGAACAAAAAAAGAGGAAAGACGAGAAATTACAATGTGAAATGTATGAGCCGAGGCACCGAATATACCCAGTTATTGACTGCGCATATCATAAAGCGGTGGCTTAAGTGTAAACACAAACAAAAAACAAACGACGACGACGATGTGCTTTTGTCAGCAAACTATTCGATCATTCGTACTGTTCCATGCCCACTTCTACAAAATGTAATGTCGAATTCTATGAAGTATATGCTAAAATTCACATCTCTATCACTACTGTGCTGCTGCGACCAACCATTTCCAGCAGGCAATGAGAGCGTTGCCGTTTGTCCTAGCGTAGCTTTTCTATGTATGTATAGGCCGTTCGTGTTACAGGACAGTCGCATGAACACAAGTACTGTGCACACAGGGGGGCAGGAACTTCACGTCGTGAAGATGCACACCGACGCAAAGAAGTTGGGTAGTGTTGTATGAAATAATACACATGTAGCAGACAGCTTTTTGATTGTCTCCTCTTGCACCCTTCGACACAACAGTGGGCTTTGCTGGTCCGGTTAGGTAGCACCAACTGCGAATCGTCATTGCACATAATGGAATATTCATGCGCCATATACAAGACGTCAGGCTCACCGTATCTAACAACAACAACTTAATGTACCAGTATTGGACAACAACAGTCATAGGCAGAGGAGTAATCAGTACTGCAGCTTTAACATGTAGGCGTCAGGTACACATGTGTACGTATACCATGCATGTATCGTTCTGTTTTTTCTTAATCCTTGAAGGCAAAGAGGAAATGAATGGACTAGGACTCGACCAACATAAAGATTACAGCCAACTACAGACTAGGCGGGCGCGTCGACTCTGCGTGCGTGCGTACACGTGTATGACAAACCCCCTGAACGGCGGTTCCACTTAGTTACGTTTACTGTTTGAGCCGCGTCAGCCAGTGAACAGTTACTCTGACGGCGGCGGTCGCTGAAACTGGAACTACCAAACCAATGCTTGTATTCCTCTTATTGTTGATGTTGTTGCTGTTGTTGTTATAATAGCCACGCACAGCGGGTCGAGTGCCGAAGTGGCTGCGCATTCAGTGCTAAGTCACGGTGTCTGTTTCCAATTTACCGACGATACTGTGTTTCACTCTATCGAACAGCGAATGTCATCAGGTCGACGGCATCTCACGGCTACACTGGACCGGCCGTCTGTGGCGGAGCAGCGACGTCCGCAGTCAATAGCCGTTAGCGGCAATGGGATTTTTCAAATAGTCGTTCATTCAAGAAGATCGCCGATCTCATCAGAGAAGTGCGATACGGAGCGACCAGCGTCGTCAGCCAAGCAAGCGCTCAGTGTATGACAGCCTAGGCGGCAGGAAAATGTGCAGACTACTTGGCCACGGACATGCTAACCCGTCGATATCGGCCAGTCTGATCGAAAACCCGGTATTATTTAAAGGGTTGCTACATGGTACCAGTAGTCGTGATGTTGATCCGACGATGATGTAATTGTGACGATGAAAACGCTGCGTCGAAAATGACGGAGTGAACCGAAAACTCGTGGCAGAGGCATCACCAAGCGAAGTCTATGTTGTCAACCGTTCTGACGTCGGTGAACGCTAGGCCTTTTTTCACATTGGTGCCACTGCGCCGAATACGCGGCCCCTTCGATTCTTCAGAGCGTTATGGATTGGGGTAGATTTCAACGCATGGGTGAACAGGCTGGCTGCTTCGCCAACGAAGCGACTAGCCCATACGTAAAGCCACCAAAGATACGCAAAGTATCTAGCATTTAGTTGCGTGCGATGAACAAACGTCGCCATGAATGGCACTGGCCATTAGGGGTCGTTCAGAATTTTCTTGTGTGTTCATAAATTAACAGTGAGATAGAGACGTTCAACACTCTGCCGATTGCGTTGAATCTGAGTGGATAGAACTTAAGCTTTAACATTACCCCTCTCCCCTCTCCGCATTTCAGCTTCCCCCATGAGAAAACTATGGTTTCGTTATAGATTACGCTGGCTTTCCTCTGCTGTCAATAATGGCAGGATGCCTGTTATAGCAAACGAGCCGCTAAACATCGTCCTAACTTACTACGGACATGCCGCACAAAGACATCGACCGCAGCAGTATGCGATACGAATCAAGCAGTGTCTTCCCCATTTTCGTGATATGCGGCGATACAGAGCGATCAGTCTTCTAATGATACTATAATGATTATATTAATAAGCAAATCGAAATTTTCAGTACCCGATGGTCAACTTATTTTCTTTTGCACGTGTATATCTCTGTAATAAACGTTATCGAAAATAAGTATCTTACGTCGAATTGCGTGCTCACAACGCGTGATGTCTCTACTGGACGTCAAAATACGTTTTTTTTTGGGCTGACATCTACAGGCGGCGCCGCTGACCAGCGGAGCTGTCTTTGTTGTCAGTAATTAAAAAATCTTCTGTTTCTATTACTGTGATTATTATATATGTCACCTTATTCGCCCTATTTGGTACAATGCAGGCACGTCTGTCGACATCGGCACATTAGGTGCCCCCCTGTTTCTTTTGATCCGCGTTCAGTGCGATCAAAGCGGAGATAATAGGTGCTGCAGATACGCCAGGTAGCCGTTGATGTATTGCTAAATTGCTTGATTTAGCAGCAGTAGTAAACACCAAACCAAACGAGCTCGGATCTTGATGAACCATCCAAGCCGACAGCGGCGAATGCTGGGTTTCGGGCGACAAAGTCGGAAACGCGGATTAAGAGAAACTGCCCACTGAGATGTTACTGTCAGACAAATGGTGCAAAAAGGGCGATGGATCAGGTAGAGAAAAATGAAATTATTAAGCAGATTTCGCGTGATTTCCATCTTCGTTTGATCGTTCATAATGGGAAAATTACTTGATGATTTAGTTTGACGCTTTCATCGGGGCAAACTCGGCCAGCTGGGCCTGTTTATTTGTCGGGCACCTGCCAGCCCGGCCGGCAGCTAGGTAGCTGCTGCTGCTGCTGTGGCTCAGATGTCTGTTCTCGCTGCCCGGCTGACGCGGTGTCAGGGCTGAGTACCGAGATTTTCCCAAAGTAGGATGTGATATGAAGTAGAATAGCATTCGGTTTCGTCAGAGTATACTGTTCAATTGAAAAGCTGCGGTGAAAAAAATGAAGGTACTGATTTGCTGATATTTGCTCGCATGTCAATATCCACTACAAAATGTCAAAATGATTCCTTAAGTAATGATTGAAACATTATAGTTTTCTTATTCAGACCTGTTTCCCACGAGACTCACTTGAATCTTTGTAATTTTTGCTAGTCCAAGAAATGAGCTACTATCTTAATCCAACATCGAGGCACATTTTCTAACAACCAACTCAAACTTCCTGTACTTATCTTTATGACGCCAGCCGTTTCCATAATTTCGACGTATTTAGATGTTTATGTTCCGCGCACTGGCATCAACTGCACGCCCTGGCGGCCACGGTCAGCTCAGTTGCTGAGGAAAGCTACAAAACTACATCGCGTCGTCTATTATAGTACATAATGCTATGCGCGTATATTTCTCTATTATTATGCTTCTAAAGCCACCACTGCAATCTACCCTATTTCCCCTGTGACTGCGTGGTCATCGATGCGATCTCCTTACCAGCATGGGCAGCGTCGTCCGTCACATAGTACCTATTCTTTCAGTAGACTAGGGTATGAGAGGTTTATTAGCAAAATCAAGCTAAACTTTCAGCCTGCCCTGTTTCCAACTTAGCTCTGCTAAAGTTACTCCTTGTTATCATTTCACAGGACGGTGAAGACTGCCCCCTCGACAGCAGGTGGGGCAGAGGAGGCTCACTTATGATCAGCGTAAATGTTGGTGGTAACAACGTAACGCAAAAATGGCGCCAACAGCAGCAGCCGCGACACAAATCAAGTCAGGTCTTTTACCCGAAATTCTGTAGGAGGATTCAACGCCGTACGCGATCTCACACTTGAATAATAACAGAAGGAGCAGAAGTCGCGACAAGAACGGCTCTGACCCCACAGGGTAAGAACGCCCTGTGCTCACGAATGTGCCCACATTCGTCATTGTTATCGTCTCTTGGTTAGATCAGTACTAACAGTAACCAAGCGGCAGTACAAGCGACACTCGAACACCGGCGCTGCGGAGATCCTAATGCTCAGTAATGCGTTCACACCACTTTATCAACGACTGCTGTCATTGTCTAAAAGCTGGTGACAGGCGCCTAGCGTTAAGGTGGTCCTCGGTTTATGTTACGTGCCCTACGGCTTACTTTAAGCGAACGCTTAAGATCGTCATGGCGCCGCAAGGCTCAACTTCAACAGCCAACTTTCTGTTCGAGTCTGCTACGATGCCGCTAGACATCGTAGTAGTACAAGAATCGAAACTGCTTTTTGAAAATAAAGTTATTTAAAGAATATGAAACACGAGAGAACATGTGTTAACAGATTAGTACTTTGTACGCTGTATCCCGTTATCTTCTTGCTTTCAAGCCTATCCTCATTCACTGAAGTACGCCTAATGTGCAATCCGAATCAATATGTCGGTGGTATTTGAACGCATTTAATGCATAATTATACCATTGTCTTCGAAACGAGACACTGGAATGAATAATAGGCAGGGTCGGCACGTGCATATTAGGACATCTAAACTATTCCTTTTGAATCAAAGTCGATACGCACACCGAGCTCCATCTGTTCGCATGGACCCGCAGATTCCTCAGCAGCTGATACTGATTTGAAAAGCGACTCCACAGTCACCCCCCGTTTGTAATCCTTGCATGTCCGTGATTTAAGCTGAGACGGGAAAAACACAAACGCATGTGATTCGCCGAACACACAGAGAGAGACAGCGCTCGCTGGTTCGATATCCGATCAGTTCACTGCGATCACGTCCGGAGTGTGATCACGATCGGTCCAAAGCGGAAAAAAAACTAAGCTGAAGTTCAATTGTTGCGGGCCTTAGCCAGGACCAGCTGAGCAGGGCTAAGATACTATGCCCGTGCTGTTTACG